GATGAGAGGGGCTGCCATGAAGGTCTCTTACATGTCTTGGAGAAATTTTCCCCATTGTCTTAGCAAATAATATTTGATTGCTCATTACTTATGCAAATTTTCATAGCCAAGGAATTTCTCCTCAGAAAATGGGTGTTTTTGGCTATCACATCATCAGGCTGCAAATTTTCTGAATTTTTATCACCTGCTTTTCTTTAAAAATAACTTCCAAATCATATCTTTGTGAATACATAAAACTGAATGCTTGTAACAGCAACGGATTATCCCTTGAGCTCTTTGATGCTTAGAAATTGAATCTACTAGATAACCTAAATCATCTCTCTCAAGTTCAAAATTCTAAAAATACTAAGGACAGGGGCAAAATGCTGCCAGTCTCTTTGCTGAAGCATAACAAGGGTCATGTTTGCTCCAGTTCCAAACAAGTTCCTTATCTCCATCTGAGACCACCTGAACCTGGACTTCACTGTCCATATTGCTATCAGCATTATGATCAAAACCATTCAACAAGTCTCTAGGAAGTTCCACACTTTCCCACATCTGCCTGTCTTCCTCTCGACTCTCCAAACTGTTCCAACCTCTGCCTTATCCAGTTCCAAAGTTGCTTCTATCTTCTCAGATTTCTTTGCAGCACCACTCCACTCTAGCAGTACCAATTTACTGTATTAGTCCATTGGTATGCTGCTAATAAAGATATTCCCAAGACTGGTAATTTATAAAGGAAAGAGGTTGAATGGACTCACAGTTCCACATGGCTGGGGAGACCTCATAATCGGGACAGAAGGCAAAGGAAGAACAAAGGCACTTCTTACATGTCATTAGGTAATAGGGCATGCACAGGGGCACTCCTTTTTATAAAATTATCAGATGTCATGAGACTTATTCACTATCATAAGAACACCAAGGGAAAAACCTGCCCTCATGATTCAACTACCTCCCACTGGGTCCCTCTCATTACACATGGGGATTATTACAATTCAAGGTAGAATCTGAGTGAAGACATGGAGTCCAACCACATCATAGTTGTTTGAATTAATTATTTGAGACCGATCTATTAGTGCTTGGGAAGTCATTTGAACTTTGAGTCTCATTTTACTCATCTCTAGATTTACGTGGTGGTACTGACACTTACTGTATCATGTTATGGTGAGTGTTAAATATAATATGTAAGAAAGTACCTTGCAAACTATAAATCTCCATTCAGATATCATTATTTAAGCAATTATACATATTAAACTTTTTATCTAAGATTAGTTTCTTGTATATGCAAACCAACTCCAGCCAATGCTGAATTTTAAAACACAGCCCTTTAAAATCAGCTTTTCTTTAAGGACAAAAATTTATATCTCCCCTGTTATCCACAAATGGTTCATATATTACCTACCTATTGGACAACTCATTAATTTCAAACTGCTTCTATCCCTTCAGAGAAAATAAATAATCTAGAATTGTTTTTAAAACTACAAGGCAAAATCCATTCTATTAAAAGATGAATGACATCTCATGTTAAGTCATCATCATTCATTCCTATAATTCAAAGGTAAATTAACCAGGTGTCAAATCATGACCACAAAGGTATTCTTAAAGAACTCTTTTTAGTACCAACGTTTTTAAATACCACAAAGTGGTACATGCTCTTCCTTATCATTATTCTTACTTTGTCACACTCTACTAATTCAGGGTCATTTTAGGAAAGCTTTAAATTTATTATAAACCTATGTTTGGAGAAGCATTATTTTAAAGGGTTTTTAAATCTTCAGAAATCCTATAAAAATCTATTATCAAGTCTCCTCTTTTCACATCTAGAAATCATTGTTTTAAAATTCTTCACCAAATAAGTGAATTATAGAAGACCACAAACCATTAAATTCCTGATTTTAAGAGCTATGTTGTTATAGGTGGAAGTAGAAGCGGATAGTCAAACAAACCAGCAAAACTGCAACCACAAAATGTCAATATGATGACTTGAAATTAAACTACTTGCAAACACAAGTTCAGCTCCTCATTTCTTCCCCATAATCTAATTCACAGCGCGATATTTTTGTCCTTAATAAGCATTAAACAAAATTAAGAAACAATCTATTAAATATCTTTGAACTTCTGCTTCCAAAGAGGAATAATGCCATTGTGGATTGATAAATAGAACATGTTCATTAGGATGAATTTTGAGAGAATGCAGCATAATAGGAGAATATTAATAAGGGGTGTTGAAGCAAATTTTAGTTATTTCTAGGTACTTGGTAAGGTAAAATAAGCCAGAATCAAGTAGGCCGATTCATCTCCTTACCTGACACTCTTGTTTCTTTTCCCCCCTCAGTGACTCCTTCTTGCTTAAGCAGTTTCCTTATCTCTGCAGCCCTTCGAAAACCTACCAGCAATAAGAAGAGAAGAAACCTACTTAGAAGGAGAGTATTTATACCTATAATTGCAAGTAGCTACTGGTGGAACCAATTATAAATTTTGAAGCCCACAGAGAACTTGTCAAACAACTAAATCAGCCCCTTTTAGATAGATAAAGTCCTAAGTTAGAACAAGGCTACTATTCCATCAGACAATGACCTAAAGGTAAATCTGATCATGTTGGTTTTAGACTTTATCACTTCAGGCTACCTAGAAAAATCTGCCCACATATCCAGAGAAAAGCCCTTGAATATTAATCATTCTGATTTAACTTAGGAAGATTTCAGTGCCTATATATATTTTTTTTCAGGGCACTAAGATAGGGATTGCTTTAAACAGGTAAAGCTTTTACTAATAAACTTTCTTAATGTTATCAATCATGATAGGTGGAATGTCTGATGCCTAGATTCCTCTTTCCCTTTTATTCGATTTCTCAACCATTTTGAGGTATAATTCTCAATACATTTTAAATGCAAAAGAAAAATAATCAAAAACATTTTATTCTGCAATTATGAAGGCTAATTAAATGCCAGGGTATAAAAAAAGCTATGATAAAGGAAGGTATGAATGGAAACACTTGCTTACTGCTTGCTTGTTTGTGGGTTTATTTTTATTTGAGGGAAAATGATTGGGAAGACTAACAGATGCTTTATTTTGGGGAAATGTGAAAGCTTTGAAGACAGAAGTCCATGGAAGGACATTACCTTTTACATTTATGTTATATCATTTTAGTAATGTTTTAATTAAACAATCGCACATTTAATAGCATGTATTTTATTAAAGGTATATATGCAGTATCTAGATTTATAAAGGAAAAAAGAAAAGGAAAATCTGTCCTGTATCTCTGTCCAATCTTACTACTACCGAGTAACTACTATAAACAAGTTGGTGTGTTTATTTTCTCATATTTGAAATATATACAGTAAGCTTATTTATTTTTATAGCTACATCGATATGTTATTTCATCTGTTCCTGTTTTAAAACAGTTAATTTATAACATTTTTACTGACTAAACAATGCTATAATTAACACATAAAGAGAAAGAGTTTGATTTGTCCTTGTGAGAACAAATGGTCTGCTGCTCTGTCTTCAGGCTAGAAAGATACTAACACAAAGAATGAAGGCCCAAAAGAGCTAAGCAGTTCTGCTGACTGATAAAGCTGGGCTTAGTCTGGTTAAGGTACAATGACAAAGTCCAATTCATACTGGTACAACTGCTTCTCACAGGTAGAATAGCCTTAAATAAAAATAATGCATGCATATTTTTCTAAAACTTTAAACAGTTCAGTCCCCCAATTCCCAAACTCAATTTACTTTTAATTTCACAGGTTATAAACTCCAGACAACTAGTCACCATTGACCGGCATTTGGCTGAAATTAAAAAAGAAGAAAATCTTCTAGCTCCCAGCTTCCACTTTTTCTACCTTTCCACCAATTATTATGAAGTCTTTTAAATCAATCCTCCTTGCCAATAAAAAGTGAAACTAGCTTATAGTATATATGTTTTTTTTATAGGACCATACTTTTTATTTGGTAAATTCCATTTTATGAGAAACTTGATTGCTATGTATGAGCAACTAGAGTGGCCATATTTGATTTTAGATACATGATGCTACTTCCAAATATTGTGAATATAAGTCTGGTGCTTTGGTAACATGATATGTCCTTTCTATGGCAGTGGCAGCCCATCTGGAGCAGCCACTGAGAAGACACCGGAAGAGTAGCCCGGGCTGCGTGCTCCATGGAGCCAGTGGGAACCAGGAACAGGTGGGAGTCCTGCCCCCTTCTGAGTTGGTGGTACAGGAGCCCCACTCTCCTATACACACCCAGATGCAGCTTTCAACCCAGGCATCCCTGCACTCTTAGGGGCCCAGGAGGCACTCCTGCCCCTGTAGGCTGAGAAGTACCTGCTCCCACTACCTGGCTCCTCCCCACTCCCAGGGCCATTTCTTATTTTGAAGTAAAGTTGAGTCCAAGCCTGGGTGCTGTCACAGCCCAGCTGGGTATGGACATGCTCAGAGTGCTGACATACCTGCTCCCTGATGCCTGGGCCCCCAGGTCCAGACAATGGTGGCCGATGAGTAAGAGAGGGAGGCCAAAGGGGGTCTGATGGTGGCTTGGTGCAGGCCTGCAGATACCCCTAGTCATGAACAGCCTGGGGACCAAGGATGACATGTGCATGGCAGCAGGAGGCAGACAGGCTCCTGAGTGGAAAGGGCTGGTCTGGGTGAAGTCCCACCTTCGGTACAGGGATGGCTTGAAGCCTAGAGGCTGGGCTATCAGTTCCAGGTGGATTCTGTGGCTGTCATGAGAACTTATGCTTTTTCAGGGCCAGCCCATGGCGGCCCATGGAACAATCAGCACAGTCATCCTCCCTTCTGAGCCCATGAAAACCAAGGACTTATACCAGACTTGGGCAGATGTTGGGATGACCTGCCCACAGATAGGAGCTACGCACTCTGGGTTTCCTCTCTGCTGAGGGCTGCAGACTCGATGGAACAACCTGCCTGTGGAAAGGAGCTACCCATTTCAGGTCCCCTAAAAGCTGTTCTGTTGCTCAGTAAAGCACCTCTCTGCCTTGCTCACCCTCCAGTTGTCCGTATTCCTCATTCTTGCTAGATGCAGGACAAGAACTTGCGACCCACTAAATGGCAGGAATGAAAGAGCTGTAACACAGACAGGCTAAAACATGCCTTCTGTTTTAGGCATGTTTTAGCCTGTCTGTGTTACAGCTCTTTCATTCTTGAAACACTTACCAAGTTTCAGGAAACAAGGAGGAGAAAATAGAGGAGAGAAGAGGCTTGGCCCTTCAGGAAGCCTAGACCTAGGAGTTACCCAAGTCAGGGCTGTGAGTCCATCTCTGGGGCTCTGTGGTTCCTGGTCTTCCCAAGCTCTGGGCACCACCATGATCCCTGGTACCCACAGTGGAAGCCACTTCTGGTATGCCTGGTCCAGCCATAGCCTCACAGGGAGCTGGCACCCATGTTTGCACGTGAAACTACCCACCCCACTGCAGCCAGCATGCCTGGCTGTACACACTGGCCAGACCCCATGCTCGCTTGCTCATGCGCCTCTCACTGCTCATGCCTGGGTCACCCTTGGCAGGCATGAGATCCAAGCTAGCAGCATGAGCCAAGTGCAGGCTGCCAGGCCTAGTGGGCAGAATGAGCCCAGTGGGCCTGGGCAGAACTCAGGCAACAGTGCCACAGGCCAGAGATTTCTGGCTGGAAGAGTGACACCTGAAGCATCCTGTGACACTCTTGTTCTTCTGGATATTCCAATATTAAATACACCAAAGGAGTACACAAATTCTACCAGAGGACAATCACAACTGCTAAAGAAGAAACTTAGAAATTTGATTTAGAAGCAGATGTTCCTTCGTGGAACATCAAGGAATGGTAGGTTACTAGCTGACAATAAAAATCAAGGGATCAGGGCCTGTCCTTTCAGAAAAACTTTAAATAAACTTATAAATGGGCAATATGACACTGAAAATACAATAGCCAACGATTGTATTTGATGGAAAGGAGCTACCCATTTCATAGAAAGCCCATGAAATAATCCATATTAAAATCTTTGAAAAATATTATGTATCTCATACAAAATAAAAAATAGATTTTTTTCAGAATAAAAGAGGAGTACAAACAAAAAGAATTCCACAAATAACACTAAACTATAATTATTTTCTTAAACAAAGAGCGTATCAATATGGTATGAAACTTTTTTGGTATGAAACTTCTAATTGTATTTTTCCATCGTCATAGATATTGGGCAATCTAATGAGGACAGTCACTGCAGGTCATTTCATTATTTTTATTTTTGTGGATTCTAATTCAGAATTCATTCTAAACTTCAAATGCTGGGAGACAAAACAAAATAAAAATTTTATGGTAGAAGTTTAATAAATGCATGATGATTTTGACACAAAGTATCATGGAGGATGTGCAGGTATATATAAATTTCAAAATAAAGTTAAGAAATTCACTTAGAATATGGCCTGTGTACTTAGCTGTTTCTTTTTTTCATTTTGAAAACCACTTTTTTTTCCTCTTTGTTTTGTGATGGAGTCTCACTCTTTTCTTGCCCGGGCTGGAGGGCAGTGATGCAATCTCAGCTGACTGCAACCTCTGCCTCCTGGGTTCAAGCCATTCTCCTGTCTCAGCCCCTCGAGTAGCTGGGATTACAGGTACACACCACCATGCCCAGCTAATTTTTTGTATTTTTAGTACAGAGGGAGTTTCATCATGTTGGCCAGGCTGTTCTCGAATTCCTGACCTCAGGTGATTCGCCCACCTTGACCTCCCAAAGTGCTGGAATTACAGGCATGAGCTACCCCAGCCAGCAGAAACCCGCTTTTGAATATAAAATTCCTAGCCATGTAAATAACCTGATTTTAGAAAAAATTTTTTTACCTAGTAAAAATGTCACCAACGAAGAAGATTCAAGTCCATAAAATAAGTACTAAACTTTATGTTTCCATGCCACTCCTCTTTAACCAATTTTTGCAGGTACTCATTATTTGATGGGTGATCATAAGGAATTGAAGATGATGGTAAATTAGCAATTGTGGTTGGAAAATAATGCCAATATATCGTAGGCATTCTTCCAATTCTATAAAAATCTGGTCAATATATTGCCAAAAATGACAGTCTGTATCTTGCAAAAGTATATATTCTATGATTATGGACTTGAAAAGGAGAATGCAAACCCATTATTTAAAACTACGCAATCTCTCCTTGTTGATAATTATAAGTAAAAATGTTACTATATGTTAGAATGCACCAGCATTTGATTCGATAAACACATAAAAATAACTAATGATTCTGACAGGGATGAGGCTAAATAACTTTATCTGGTAATAAATGCACTAGGCTACAAAATAAAAATAAAGATCATAAATGTAGGAAAGATAGGAGCTTATCATTGTTGGTAGAAAATAGCATCATATACTTTTCAAAACTCAAAAGGATCAAAAGAAGCATAATAAAATTACAAAATCAGTCCAAGCCTTTGGAATGTGATAAGATAAAATCAGAAAATCAATAGCACCCTTATCCACCAACAAAAACCAGATTTAAATATATAATAAAAATACACAAATCCTCAAAAGTATCAAGTGACAGCAACAGCTAGCTACATAGATAGACAGATTCACGCACATATATATGTATACAGAAATAACCTAATTAAAATGTGCTACATCTAGATGAGTTTCTAAGAAAATTTAATTAGAGTTATAAAAGACTAAAATATATACAGTCGTGTTCTATAATTCAAAATAGGAAGTCTCAAAAGTGTTAACATATTCTTCTTCTAAAATGAAATTGTAGGTTTAATGCACATCTATAGATTATTCAATGAAATATATTTCAGAACTCAGCATATTCTAAAGTTCACATAGAAAATATTGTACTTTGTTTAAGCTGTTCAACTTTTTATATGTTAACAACTCTAAAATTGGGCTGTTATACAATTAATAGAATGTCATAGTTTCGTTGATAGATTTTTTCTTAGTTTTATATAATACAAAAGCTTTTATTATAAAAGCTATCGCATTTATGATGAGACATAGAAATGTAGTTTAAAAGCAAACTATGGAGGGACAGTGGGGGTAGGGAGTTGGGGAGGAATAACATGGGGAGAAATGCTAGATATAAGTGATGGGATGGAGGCAGCAAACCACATTGCCATGTATGTACCTATGCAATAATCCTGCATGTTCTTCACATGTACCCCAGAACCTAAAATGCAATTTTATATATATATATATATATATATATACACATATATATAAAGTATATATATATATATATATGTATATATACATATATATATGGCAAACTAGGAAGTATTTTCTAGAGGAGAAACAATTAGACTAGAATAGTGGGAGTAAGATTATAATTTATTATAAACTGTAAACCTGAAATATTAAAACAATGTAAATGTGTGCCAGACAGAGAGAACACAAAAATAGAACACCTAGAACATATACTAGGATTTTAAGCCTAGTAAATGAAGCATTATTATTTAATTGGAAAATGAAGGGGTATTTCACAGAACATGTTGGAGGAAGTGGTTGTCAGCTTGCAAATAAAACTTAACTTAGCATCTAAATTATATTGCAGATGAATTAGACAGTTAAAATATCTTCACATAAGTTGGACCAAATATATAAATGGAAATAGAATTTTTTTTTGTTTTGTCTGAGACAAAGTCTCACTCTGTCACCCAGGTGGGAGTGCAGTGGACCAATCTCAGCTCACTGCAACTTCCGCCTCCCAGGTTTAAGCAATTCTCCTGCCTCCGCCTCCTGAGTAGCTGGGACTACAGGTGCACACCACCATGCTCAAATAATTTTTTGTATTTTAGTAGAGACAGGATTTCATCATGTTGCCAAGGTTGGTCTTGAACTCCTGAGTGCGCGCAATCTGCCTGACTTAGCCTCCCGACGTGCTAGGAATATAGGCATAAGCCTTTGCGCCCGGCTTCACAAATGGTTTTAACTTCAATAATGAAGATAATTAGGCCGGGCGCGGTGGCTCACGCTTGTAATCCCAGCACTTTGGGAGGCCGAGGCGGGTGGATCACGAGGTCAAGAGATCGAGACCATCCTGGTCAACATGGTGAAATCCCGTCTCTACTAAAAATACAAAAAATTAGCTGGGCATGGTGGCGCGTGCCTGTAATCCCAGCTACTCAGGAGGCTGAGGCAGGAGAATTGCCTGAACCCAGGAGGCGGAGGTTGTGGTGAGCCGAGATTGCGCCATTGCACTCCAGCCTGGGTAACAAGAGCGAAACTCCGTCTCCAAAAACAAAAAAAAAAAAAAAAAAAAAAAAAAAAAAAACTGCAGAGAAGTATGATACCTTTTTCTGTATATAGTGTTTATGTTTTTGATTGTGGCACTTCCATATATATGGAAGAGTGTATTTATTTCCACAATTTAAATGATAAAGACACCCCCTAGCTTTATAAAAATAGCATTGCCAGGACCTCAATGACCCTTAGATGCCTTTCTAGATCTCACAATCTCCTAGAGGCAAAGATTTCTCAGTCTGATAACTATTCCCATGCATTCCTTAATAGTTTTACATATAGTGCATCTTCATTATTTTCAGATTCCACATTTGCAAATTTGCCTACTTACTAAATTTTATTTGTAATCTCTAAATCAAATGTCAGTGCACTTTTGTGGTCAACTGCAGACATGCGCAGAGTGATAAATTTGAGCCGCCTGGCACACATGTTCCCAGGTGAGGCTGAACAAGAAAATGTTCTGCATTCTTGTTTTGGTTCTCATGCTATAAACAGGTGTCCATTTCACAGCCTATTTAGTGCCAAATTTTACATATTTGTGTGAAGTTTTACTATTGGTGATTTTGCTATTTAAAAGAGCCCCAAGCATAATGTTAAAGTGCTGTTTAGTGTTCCTAAGCATATGGTTGATAGGTAAGTTTCCTTCCTGCCTAAGTTATAGTGCTGTTGACTGTGAGTTCCACTTTAAATAATTAAATCAAATAGACATAAAACATGGTTATGTACTGATTAGCAGACAAATGCTGTGACTGGAGGTTCACAGAGCCTCACCCTATAGGCCCAATAGGAGCAGTGTTTCAGTAAAAACCAATTCATTGTAGGAAAATTCATAGAATATTAAAACTATGATGAATGGCGGCCAACTGTACATATTTACAAGTCAACATAATGCCCAGTTGTCACTGTTTCATTTTTATACTTATCTTTTCATAATGTATGTATTCTGTAATTTGCTTGTTTGCTAAATGTTATTTTTGTGACATTTGTCAATGTTGAAAGATGCAAGTTATTAAAATACTGTTGCATAAACCTTTGATTTAATATACTATACTTTGTATATTAAATTAACCCTGCTACAGAAGAATGAAACTGAACTCCTACCTATTACCATATACAAAAATTAACTCAAGATGGATTAAAGACTTAAATGTAAGACATCAAGCTATACAAATCTCAGAAGAAAACCTAGGAAATATGCTTTTCACTATTGGCCTTGGTAAAGAATTACTGACAAACACAAAAATTGCTAAGTAGGACCTAATTAAACTAAAGAGCTTCTGCACTGCAAGGGAAACTATCAGTGAAGTAAACAGACAACCTACAGAGTGGGTGAAAATAGTCAGAAATTATGAATCTGACAAAGATCAAATGTCCAGATCTATAAGGAACATGAATCTATAAGGAACATAAATTAACAAGCCAAAAACAATCTCATTTAAAATTTTGCAAGAGACATGAACAGACACTTCTCACAAGAAGACATTCAAGCAGTCAACAAACATATAAAAAATGTTCATCACTAAGCATCAGAGAAATGCAAACCAAAGCCAAAATGAGATTCCATCCCACACCAGTCAGAATGGTTTCTTGTTAAAAAGTTAAAAATAACAGATATTGGTGAAGCTGTAGAGAAAAGGGAATGCTTATATACTGTTGGTGGAAAAGTAAATTAGTTCAGCCACTGTGGAGAGTCTTTTGGAGAGTTCTTAAATAATTTTGAATTAAACTACCATTTAACCCAGCATTCTAATTACTGGATATATATCCAAAGGAGAATACTTAATACTATCAAAAAGTCACATGTGGTCAAGCATGGGGTCTCTCACCAATACGCCCAACACTTTGGCAAGCTAAGATAGGGTGATGGCTTGAGGCCAGGAGTTTGAGACCAGCCTGGGCAACATGGCAAGACTCTGTCTCTACAAAAAATTTTAAAAAATAACTGGACTTGGTGGCACATGCCTGTAGACCTAGGTCCGTGGGAGACTGAGGCAGGAGAATCTCTTGAGCCCAGGAGGTTGAGACTGATGGGAGCCATGTTTTTATTACCACACTCCAGCCTGGGTGACAGAAAGAAATTCTATCTCAAAAATAAAAATAAAAGAAAGACACATGCAACCTTATGTTCACTGCAGCACTATTCACAATAGCGAAGACATAGAATCAACCCATGTACAATGGTGGAACGAATAAAGACAATGTGATATATATACACTATGGAATATTACACTGCCATTAAAAAAACAATTTTTTTTTTTTGCAGCATGAATGTAGCCATAGGCCATTATCCCAAGCAAACTAACACAGAAACAGAAAGCTAAATATCAAATATTATTTCTTATACCATTGGGTATACATGGACATAAACAGAGGAACAATACACACTGGGAAATCCAAAAGGGGACAGGGAAGGAGGAGGTCAACGGTTAAAAAACTAGCTATTGGTTATTATATTTACTTCCCTAGTGAGGGGTTCAGTCATACTCCAAACCCCAGCATCATACAATATACCTTGGCAGCCATCAAGGCCTAATATCCCAATATCTGCACATGTAGCCCCAGAATATAAAAGTTGCAAAAGAAAAAAAATTATTAATTAATGAAATATAGTGCTATGTTTATGGACTTTGGGTTGTTTCTAGATGTTTGCAAATAGAAACAATATTTCTCTAAAAACTTTTGCAGCTACAATAAGTTTCTTCATCCTGTATATCTAAGAGGGGCAGTGCTGGTCCAAGGGTTTTTGTATATTTAACTGAGTGAATTTATCAATAGTTGGTGTGTTATCATTATTCCAAAAAATTCAATAAAATTTCAAGCCAATGCTATTTCCCTTTACCTATGACTATATTCAATTAAATCCTAATTATTCTATGTGATTCAGAGACTAAGAGCATCAGATCACTTGGAAGCTGGTTAAAAATGAAGAATATCAAGATATACATTATTAAATCAGAATTCAGATTTTTACACAATCTTTATTCTGTCATAATTCCTAGGTGATTCATATGCACATTACATTTTTGGAAGCACTGATATGAATGAAATGCTAGATATTCTTTTCAAATTTTAGAACCCAAAGGAGAACATGTATAACATAGGACACATACTAGAAATATAAAGCATGGGAATGTTTGATTTACAATTTCATAAAATTTAAAATATGGTTAATAAATATACAATGTCATGTTATATAAGATGTTGTATTAATATGCCATCATTTAATAAACACTATGATGTTGTTGCTTATAAGCTACATTATACTTTTAAAATATCACACTATATGTAATATTTTATATTAGTTTTCTTGCTAAATATGCACATATTCTCTGTTCATCATTGTGTCTATGTAACAATCTGATATATAAACAATATTTATTATTCCATAAAATTAGGAATTAGTCAGGCCTAGGATAAAATTTCAGTTTTGTCATTTACTAGCAGTGAGACCTTAGCTAGCTAGTTGAGCAATTTACTCTTCTTGTGTAAATTCCAATTTTATTTTCTAAAAAGTGGCAATAATGCCCACCTCATAGGATTGTTGAGAAAAATAAGGAAGATATTATATAAAAAGTGACTTCCAGAAACTAGGAATTAAAACTGTATTTACTTTCCCTTGATATATTATACAAAGAAGTCAAAATATATTATACTTTTCCTTCCTAAAATTGAAACTAGACTAATGTATTACTTAAATTATGCATTGCAGTGAATAATCCCCCAAAGTATTTGGAGTTATATTTTCACAACCAAAAAATATATTTAATCAAAACATAGAACAACAAAAGAAGAATTAGAGAAAACAGATTTTCATTTCTTAAAATGTTATTTTTTTCAATGTCAAAATTCAAGTTCTCACTAATATGAGAATCCCGAACTATACAAATTGTCAGTGAGATAACTTTGTTCCTCTGTTAAATTATTTCAGTGGTGCATGTAAAATGCCATTAATTTTGTCAATTGATTAGAACTTAAATAAGAGGCAGCTGTTTCTCTGTATGATTTTTAGAGCATGCAGAGATTTAAAAATAAATCTTACTCCAATCAGATTTCTTATAATGCTAAGGGTTTTATTCTTGAATAAAACTACTGACCCTCTTTGTTGTGTGACCAGCATTAAAAAGTAATGGATTTTGGTTTTGGTTGATTTGTTTATTTTTTAATTCCAAGGCAGGGATGTTTAAGTATTATTTAAAACCCTCAGAAATGTAGAAAATGTATTCTAAGTCCTTAATTCTACTGCTGCTATCTTGGCTAGAAAAAGTGATGTGTATATCAGGAAATAGGAGTGAACTTTCTTATCCCTATTTTGTCCTTCAACAGCCTCCAGAGGCAAAAGTTGCTTTTCTCTAATATTGGATTTTAAAGGTCACTTTTTATTTTATAGCTCTAGGTTGGTTTTTACTCCTAGGTATTTTACATGACCCATGGTAAATTAGACTCTAACCTGTGCTGAAGGACGGACTATGACTGTGTCTAATATCCCAGAACTGTATACTCACTTGGGAGTGAATACTTTGAAACTGCCTTAACAAAGTCTTGTGGTAATCCTTTAGATTGACACTTAAGACAGTATATTATGGTATCAAAAGTTAGACTTTCAGATGAAACAAACATGGGGTATAATTTCAAAACAGCTATTAACTATTTAACATTGGTGAAGTTGCTTAATCTATGGATATCTGGTATATTTTCTCTAAAACTGAGATAAGATTGTTCTATATTATGGAGTGGTTCCAAGTGAGAAAACACATCAATGAATTTAGCAAAAACGATTGATATATAAAAAGCACCAACAAATATTTATTAAATCAGACCATATTTTATTACACATTAAAATCATTAAACATATAAAAGCATATATTGAGAAAAAGTCAATAGTAGCATTTTAAGTTTCATTTTAAAATTATGTAAACAATAAAGTTCAGAACAAATACCTTATTTAAATGAGAGAGACGGCAGAGAAAAAAATTCTCTAATTTCACCTTTTAGAAAGTAACTGAAATCAAACTTAATGATAACAAGCATTTACCTACTATTAGGGTACATACTTAAAATAAATATATACACCCTACAGCCTTGTAGTTAGGTAGATGTTATTTCCCATGTTGTTTGGGTACATACTTAAAATAAATATATAAACCCTACAGCCTTGTAGTCAGGTAGATTTTATTTCCCATGTTGTTTAAGGTGTGATAGATCACTTGTATATTTCAACGCTGGGAACACTTGCTTGTAATTCCTAACAAATTGTTAATATTTAACTTAATGGTGAGTGTATACCTGCTACTCGGCAAATGCCTTTTTGAATGAATTAATGATCAAATTAT